TGAACATTTTTTTGTGATTTTGAAACTGTAAAGTGGCCTTTATTGCATGTTCATATGTCTGCCACTTCAGTATTAACACATTGCTATGTCCATTACACAGACTTTTTCAGCATATTTTCATCAAAGGCAGGCATATATTACCTTGTATTTGAGACAATCAACTAAATGATTCATTTAGGAAAAATATTTGGTGAAACTCTTCAGCATTAGGTTTTGCAATGTGTACAAGTGAACACTCCTTTCAAGTACTCTATTTAAAGACAACCCAGAATAGGTAGAATAAAACATAAATAGAAATGGTCACTTGAAGAAAGATGAAGCTAATGAAATTAAAGAGCTGTGACTCATGAAAGGAGAGTAATTACGATGGCTTAAAAATGTGTTAATGTAGGTTAAAAGAACATTTTATTTGTAAATTTAATATCATCTCATTATTGCTGGGAGCACGGAAAGATCTATCACCTGCTTCCTAACAACATTCAGGATAACACAGTTCTTTTCAGGCTGAGTCAAGAAATACCCATCAGCAAAAATGTGGAATGAACATGTAACAGACATGTGCTTTTTAATGTGCTAATTGTCTGCACTGTTGTCATTTCCCATTAGGTGTCTCAGTGAGTGTCCCCTTCAATGCACTTTTAGCACATGCATCATGCTAAGCGTATTAATACATACTTAGTAAATATTGCTGTAAATTTGCATTAAGATCAAAGTGTTGCTCCTGACCTTTAAAACTCATAAAACCTTGAGGAAGTTGGTAAGTCATACTTACTAGAATAAAAGGAGGCTTTTTGATCTGGCCTAGTATCTGCCCCATAGCTTAACTATTCTGTAGCCTTTGCTTCATGTATTCAGTTTATATTTTGTCTCTGAATATTCATTCACGTATTTTGTCTCTGAACATTTGTAACTGAAAATGTTGGCATTGATGTTATTCTCACCCTGTAAAACTGAATAATCTCTTCTTTCTTTTTTTTTTTGTTGGTAACTGCCAACAATATATATGACATTGCTCTTAACAATCAGGAAATCTCTTAGCATTAGGAGATACAGTGCAAACACAAGCTGAGCACAGCTTGAGCTACAAAGACAAAGCTCTGTAAGGAACTTTTGAGGATACTGTGAAATTTGTTGAGGATACCTGAAATATAAGTTCCAGTGCACCAATAAGAAACTAATTTGGTTTCCTGTAGGATATTGTTCCCATATTGCCAATACACATTTAACTTTACATGGCTAGCAATCCGATTGATTTCTCAGATTTTTAAGGTTAAGCGTGCTTAGGTATGTCACTATTTATCTTGAATAAAAAACTTCAGAAGTTAATTTATGTTAATTATATTATGTTAATTTCATATCATGAAATAGTCATTTTATACTGGGCTTCCACATTTTTTAATGTCCTGCTATTCTTTAAGATTTCTATCCTTATGTGAAAAAAATAATAATACCAACAAGTAAAAAATGAAAGACTGGACTTAGGTTTTCCTTTACGTGTGCAAAGCAGTAAGAGTTTTACTTGGCTAGACGATGAGTGTGAAATCCTTCCTTTGTGAATATCATCGAGACATATACAGATCTGATAATACCATTTGGCTGAATAACATAGAAAGATTGGCAAGGCTGGACCCTAAGTGGTGTTGATGATGAAAGTTTGTTTAAGGGAGTTTTTAGTTATGTGATTTACTTTTTTTTCTGCCTCCTCAGAGCATACGTGACATAGATTAAGTTCCTCATACGATCATTTAAAGTTACCTAGGTTCAAATAGAATCACAGCTTCCTAGCAAGAGGTGGACCATCTGGGTTAGCTCAGTTGGTTAGAGCATGGTGCTAATAGCGCCAAGTTCACAGGTTCAATCCCTCCTTACTGCAGGGGGGGTTGGGCTCGATGATCTTTCAAGGTCCCTTCCAACCCAAAGCATTCTATGTTCCAGGTGGCATGCCTCTATGAACCATCTCCTTTGTCTTTTGAGGCAAAGAAAGGGAGTATGAAATAGCTGTAACCCATACTCCAAAGAAGTTGAAAGAAATGTAAAAAACAAGAAAAAAGAAAGAAAGAAAGGAAGAACTAATTTAAAGAGTTGACAAGCTGTAAGTCAAATTAAGCTACTTCTTTGGTTTGCCTGTCTCTCCCGACCTGTTAGACCCCACTGCACAACCGTAAACAGGCCTGCATGAGTTTAAGAGAATCCACTTGCCCAAGAGCTGATTCCTGCCGCACACTGTTAGTTCCCATTGCACACTGACAAACTCCTTTTCCTTATTGAGAACTATAAAGTCCGGTAATGTAAAGTTGGTACGGGGCTATTTTGCAGCCGATCTTGGGGTTTTTTTAACCTCTTGTTTTTCTCTGTTTACTGTGTTATACATAGCCGAGGCAGCAGAGGGAGCTCCAAGATTTTGGTCATCAGTGAGAGAACTAGAGAACCAGAGAGGGAGAAAAAGAGACTGACGGTGCCAAGAACAATTACAACGACAGTGAAGGACGTGGGTTGATGTACTCGGACTTCTTTAAAGCTAATAGATTATATGCATGTCCCATTACTCAGCTGGTAGTCTTAAATACCAGCGAGACTTCAAGGTACCACTTAGTGGCCAGGTTTTATTTCACACTTGTTTCTTACTTAAGCTCTTTTGTTTACAGTTTGGAAAAAAGTATTTATCAAGAATTAAAAGTCCTTTTTGAGTCTAATAAACTGTTCTAGTAAGTCCTTCTATGTGTAAAGATTTAGAATAAGTATTAAGAGATAGGTACCTGAATTTTAAGGGCTACAGTAAATAAAATTGATAAAAAAGTGACAATTGGTAAAATACTAAACTGCAGTGAATTGACTTTTGTTCCACAATGCAGAAATTCAGTTTGTAAAATACTGCAAGATTTTTCAATTGTAATTTTAAGATAGAAGGACCTTCATGTTTTTCAGAAGACGTTCATCTTCAGTGTTGGGGAAAAGTAAAGCTAATAAAATACACAAATGAAAGTCCTATCTACACAAAAGCATTTGTTCCTCTGCAAAGGAAGATTTGAGTCTCTGAGAGGTCAACAGCTGCTGACCATAAGCAAAAGTCTGTTTTGAACTGTATCGGGGAACACATTATAAACAGAATACCAGTATCATGAAGGCAGCATTTGTCCTAAGGTCAAAGTTGTGCTTAATTGTCCAGTTTCTGAATGCATATAATCGACAGAATGAGAAACCCTGTGATTTTGACCAGGTTTGATATTTTCTATAACATACTACCTGGAACTGTTTGCTACAGAGCAGGTTGTAGTCTATCTTGAATGTTTTAATTGGCTTTCAAGGGAACACAGAACAGAATGTAATTTCATTATAAGATAGAAGTATTGTACTAACTTACTCAGTTGTACTGAAAGGAAATATTTATAATTCACAGTTTTTTGAAAGAAGATACATTTGAGATGTGAACTCAGGTATCCTCTTCCCAAATTCAGGACAATTTTTTTAAAGTGGTAGAAGCTTCAGTTTTCTAAACATCCTTTTTACAGTGATCTAATTGCTGGATCTTTGCACTTTACTGACTCTATGGTCTCTCTCCTGCTTTGCACCAGATTCACCTACACAACCTTTAAAAAGTAGCTGTGGAGCACTATTCTAATCATGTGGGCATTGCTTAATCCTCTGATCGAACCTGAATAAATCTGCTTGGATGCCATGTCAACCCATTTGGGATTTGCAATCTAACAAGGCACCCAAATACAAGTTAAAGTAATCTTCTACCTGAAAAAACCCATCTCCCTCTCTCAGTAACATCTACTACTGTGTTCCAAGGCAGGTAAAGACCAGGCAGCTGTGAATATCACTTTGGAGATAGGGGGCATAAAGATTTAACTTTATGAATTTATGCTATTGATTTCCTACCTACAGGTCCTTGGCTATGTTCAGAGGTCTCATTTTTGCTCTTACTGGTAATTCAGAAAGATGGCTTTTGCTTAGTATTATTCCTTTATCTTCTTTGGGTTTTGGTTTTTTTTTTGCTATACCAATTATTTTTAGTCTGTGTTCTGTCATTCCAAGTACATATCCTGACCCCTGAAATGTTGGGATTTCAGAGTATTTACTATATTTGTATCTTACAAACTCCCACAGTTCTTCCTTCATCTCTCTATATTTTAACCCTGTCTGTCCCCAAATAACTATGTAACTGTTTTCAAAGGCATTTATCTGCCTTTCTTCAAAATGTGAGACACTTGTAAGGAGAAAGAATGCCTATATCTCCTCTCTTATCAAATTTTAATGAGTAAATCTGTGCTCCAAGTTATTAGCATATATGTTTCACCTGTTAAATAAGATTATCCAAGTTATTTTTGTTGGCTCACAGTTCAATATCTAGTATTACTATCTTTAGACTTTGACTTCTCTTTCCCCTTATTTCCTTAAGATCTCCAGCCTTTTTTTACTCTATCTTCTGCCTTTCTTTAACAGACAAATTTTAAGTATATGTACAAAAAGTTTGTAATCCACTTATATTTACCCCACTTTTAGAATTCATAATGAATTTTATATACCAGATCACCATTTTAGTTATTCTATTATCTCTGTGCAATAGCTCTATGGAAGAAGGACTTTTTAAATAAAGTCTAAATCCCCATAGGCACTCTATATAATGAAATTATAAAATATTATTAACAAAGCAACTTAATGAATTGACATTTTTGAAGTTAGAAAGGTGGAACACTACAGAAACTAATACCTATCTAATTGAAAATAATGAGTTCATTACAATTGTCAATTAAAACTAATGGAGAAATAAAAAAAACATCCCTTGGTTTCACTTTTACTTGCATGTTTGATGGTATAATGTTGGATTTTCTGTTAGAAAAAAACAATTGACAAATTAAATGTTCTCACGTTCTGTTCTCAGAAGTGGATTTCCTTCTCCATTTAGTTGCAGGTGAAGAGAAGCCCTAGCTAGCTTTTGAGTTCATTGAACATATTTAACTTGAACTTTAAACATTGTTTGAGGTAAAATATCTTACCATGGTTGTCTCTGCAATGGATCCAAAGCTGTTTATAAATATGTTGCATGTGACATTAACTGGAGGGCCTGTGAAAGAAAAAAAACACCAATCCCTGTTCCAGAATCATTGCTTATTGAGTGACTGTAAAATAAAAACCATTATGAAACAATGTTTATTGACTTAGAAGCTAATAATGCTACATTCACAACTAATTTAGTGCAAAATTAATTTGAATTGTTTCTAATAATTTTCCTTTTGATTTTTCTCAAAGGTACACCTCTTGACTGGCCATTTCTAGCAATAAAAAAAAAAAGTGACAACATTCATTATAAACTTGCACAGATGATTCTATGCAAAAAAATCAACATTTCATTTGAAATATATAGTAAAAAGTATTTTTATGTGCATTTCAGTGAGCAATGTACATCACTTCTTGCAACAATTAGGGGAAAAAGTGACCTTTTTCACTCAAGGCAGCTGCTACCTTTAATGTTATCTGTCATCATTGGTAAAAGAAATACGTTATTGCTGCTCTTATCTCTACTGCTTACAGCAACAAATGTGGATAAGAAAGAATGACTTAGATTCTATTCCCATTTCTCTTAAATCCACAAAATGGTTAAGAATCCATTTAAGCTGAATTTTCTGTTGCCATGGGTCTTCAGTCAACTGTTGTTCCGTCTTATCTTGCATTTGTGAAGCATCAGTAGTGGCAGAGCAGTCATTATGATAACTGAACAATGAATCCTCTCTTCATGGAAAAGTTTTTAAATTATTTCTCTGAAAGCCTCTGTAAAAATGGCATTGTGGTAGAGCATGCTAATTTCCCCATTATTTCTTATCAATTTCAGTCTGTGTACAGTGGAAACAAGGTTTTTCCATCACAAGGTTTTTCTGTCACCCTCCTGCACCTTGATATTCTTGTACCAATAATGCAGTTCAGCATTGGAGAACCGGATTTCTTTTTGCAGGCATAAACAGTTACTAATAATGAAAGATCTATATCTGGAACTTGAGGACTGGTCTTAGAAATCCTTATATAATATTTCTTTTTTAGGGTCACCGAAGCAAGAAGCTGCTCTGCCACTGCTGGTGGTTTGCAACTAGCAAAATCTAATGTGACCAATGAACTTGATGTTAAATACTTGAAGAATCAGAATATCCATTAAAAATTCTGCCAACAGGACACAACTTGGAACATCCAGCTTCCTTTCTTCAAGGCAGTAATTGTTTTGAAGTACTGTATGGCACTTGCAACACAACATCACTGCATGTAATACACAAGACTACACCTATCGAGCAGAATTCTCAGGTAAGGAGGTATCACTCTGTAGTCACTTTGATGCTATTTTCACTTTGATACTTGGTTAATTATTTAGAGCTGTTGAGCATATCCAATACTTCTTAGAATCCAGTAAAAGCTTGACATCAACAACTCCTGAAAAGGATCAAAAGAAAAAAAAAGCAGGGGAGACAAGCAAAGGCAGAGTCACTGAAAAAATTTCAGGGAGAAAATTGTACTTCCTGGCTAAGTTAGATAATTTTTTTTTGCAAGGCAGCTTTCTTTTCAAACATTTTCATGTTGTAGTACTTGTCATAATTTCAAATTTGGAATGATACTATCTTGTTTAAAACAGTACTATGCTTTAAAGTGTAAGTTTGCTGTATCAACAAATATAGTTGATTTTATAAAGAAAAAGCCCTAAATCACTACAATATTGATGCTTAATTTCAAAAGCAGCATTACAAAAATATAGTTAACAGCTAGTTAAAAAGAGCATAAAAGGAGAAGCCAAAAGCAGCTTGGTTTAGAAATTACATAAAGATACTGTGCTGAGAGTGAAAATGAACTTCCCAAAATATGGTAAAAAAGAAGCATAACTGAAGCTGTTAAAACTGGAAGTCATATTCAAACATAGGAACTCAGGCAAGTTGAACATAAATTAAAGACGGGGGAGAAAAAATAGAGCTGACACTAGAGACAGAAAAGCTAACAGTGATAACTATCTGCAAGGCATTAAGAATAGAATCCTGCCAAAATCTAGAAGGTGAAGACAAGAGAAGATGATTAAGATATAAAAGTATCCATGAAAGTGAAGAAGGTCAGAGCAGAAAAACTTAATGAAGCCTTTGTAGCAGCATTTGTCTCCAGTTGCTAGCTGTGCCAAATACTGGAGCCATTCTGATGGAAGATTTGTATGAGGACTGCAGTAGACATTTCAGACTAAGTGAATAGGAACAAACTGACAGGCTGAGGTGATATCAAGTCAGACACTATAAAAATCTTTCAAAACAGTGGAAATATGAATCACTGTGAGTCAGCTATCACCTGTGTCAGTTTTGTTATCAGTGTAAATGTGTACCATGTCCAGCAAGTATAACTTGAATTAAAAAAGAAAGACTCCAGGTATGATGGTGGATGAACTTTACTCCTGTAAACCCTACCTCTGTACCAGCCAAACTGGTAGAAATGATGAGAACTATTATGATTTGGAGATATAGATTAATATTATTTTTGCTGAAATAACATCTCTCGGATCTACTGAACCTCTCTGAAAGAGCTGATGACCATGTGGACAAAGGCAGTCTAATTAACTTAAATATTAATTCTAACTGTAATATATAATTAAATTAATTAAAATAGTTTATTTGGAGTTTCAAAAACTTTTCAACATGCTCTTTTGTTAAAGGCTTTTTAAGGATATTAGTCTTGAAGAAGTGAGAGACAGTCTTTTTATAGGCCTTTTGCTTTAAAGTTATTTAATGTTAAGAATAAATAGCCATTTTTCAAAGTGCGAGGTGATTGCAGGTGAGTTCCCCTATGTATCTGCACTGAATCTTTGTAGTTCAATACTAATGTCCTAGAAAAGAATGTATAGCAATTTTGCTTCTGGTATAAGATTATTTAGGGTGGTTGTATAAAAAGCTGACTGTAAGGAGGTGCAGAAAACTCACAAAATACTGAGCTATAAAGCAATACAATGTTTGATGTCAGCCAAATGCCAAATAATCCATACTATGCATTCGTACTGATAGGCTCCAAATTAATGATTTCCATGTAGGAAAGAGAGGTTAGATTAATTATGGATGGTTCTCTAGAAGCATGCTCTGTAATCAATAAAGGCAGGAGATTGCAAAGAAATAAATTTAAAAAAATGGACTACCATACAAGCAGATTACGAACTTCTGTCTTGAATTCTTCAAAATTTCTCTTCTCTCCGCCTCAAAGGGATATATTAGGGAGAAAAGAGATGTCAAGAAGGCAAACAAGGATCACAAAATTCTATTAAATGCTGCCACACAAAACCAGATTAAGTAGAACAGAGCTCTTCACATTGGAAAAGGGATATGGTAGGGAACGATATATAAGTATACAAATCTGTAAAGATCAAAAGGAAGTAATCCTTTTCCTCCACTTCTCAATATATCATATGACCATAAAATCAGTAAAATAGTCACCAAATTCAAGGCAAATAAAAAATGACACTTTTCACTATTCCAAAACATGAAGATTTTATTGCTGTAAAATACTGGAAAGGCCAAAAGTATAAACAGCTTCCAGAAGTGATCAGAAGAACATATTTATCTAAATTAGTTTTTCAGAAGTCCTGGCTTAAGAAGTTCCTAAACTAATGATTGCTGAATACTGTTTGGTAATACCAGGGCAGGGAGCACTTTACACTTTCCTATGTAAATCCCAGAATTTCCACCTTAACAAATTGTTATCAAAGGGTACAATTTGGACTGTATAGATTTAAAAATATAACACCTCTCTGTATCAGGTTAATTCTGAGCATCTTGAGGCCATGACAATTTTTACATATGGATTACATAACTGTGTGCAAATTTGAAAGACATTGAAGTATTTCCCATATTTGCAGGAATGGATATAGTCTGGAATGTGGAACAGCTCAGTAAGAGAAGCACCTTGCTATAGGTTTGATGTACTGGAAATAAAAATATTTTGCAACTGGAACAAAGATTTTACAAGAATTCTTAATTTTCTGTTTTATTCCATAGCTAAATAAATACCAACAGTCTTCTCTATTATTTCTGTTGAACAAGAACAGATATCCAGAATTCCTTATCCAAAAGCAGAGCACTCAGACAAAATATGTAATTATGTATTATTGACCAAGATTAAGTATGACTAAGAGATGGTAGTTAAAAATCTTGTCTACATAGGAATTTTATTGGAAGAACAAATGATTTAAAATGATTGTCTGAGTTCTTTTATTAGCACTCATTTTGTTTCTTTAAAACTGTTGCCAGATTAAAAACGCAAAAAGGCATTAAATCCCAGTACTTGTTTTAGGACTAATAAAACTAACCAGAAAGTGGCAAAGTCACTTAAGGAGATACTTATTCTTAGTGATAGATCTGAATCATTCTGGGCAGATTTGTTCAAACTGCATAGCTGTCTAGAAGATTTAGAATGTGCACTTTTTGAGAAAGAACAATGTCAAATTAGGTTTTGTCTCTTTAAATTTCAATAGTTACAAAACAAGTCTCTAACTCTTTTGAATTATACTTCCAAGAAGTACTGTATTGAATTGCTAATGCCTAAACCATCTGCCTATCCTTCACTATAGCCTCCTCAGAAGATTGTGACTGCATGGTGTCCATGACAAGCTCCAAAATCCAATCCCCAAACAGACATCTAAAGCTGTAAGCTCCTCATTTTTAAACACTTGTTTGTAGGACTTCAGGAGCCTCAAAGAAGAAAGAAGAAAAACTGCAGTGCTTAGACTTTGCCTGAGGTCTTCTTTTGCCCAGCACAGCTTTACCTTAGGTTGAACCTGCAGTTTGCATGCTAAAAAGTATACTGTGGCAACAAGTCAAGATAACTTCTATAAGGAGCAAAAATAATTTACAAGCTACCATTCATATAAGAAAGTAATTTTAGAAATACAGTGTTTTACATTACTTTGCAAGTATTGTTTGATTCATTAACCCTCCAGGAAGCCAGGCACTGGAACCTTCTTCAGAGTAGTTCTGGCAAGGAAAGACCAAGGGACTTATTCTGTGTAGTCATCGGGGTTATTGATCACTGTTGTAAGTCTTTTAGCAATGTGTTTGAATTTCCAGTGCACGTTTATCATTTTCTGAGAAATATCAGCACCACTAACTTATGAAAAGCAAAGACTTTCCATCTGTGGTAAATCCTGGGTAATAAGTTTATATGTACAGCACCAACTGTTTATGGCTTACTGGTGAGGAAGTAATTTGATAAACTACTTGGTCCTTATGAATCTGTCTGGGCAAATTCTGGCAAAACCAGTGAATAGCAATGGATTTAGAATCATAACCACTTAAGTTTCTGGGACTTGGAGATGTAAAAAGTTATAAAATTTAGTGCTGAATAAGAATTAAGATGGAAAGGCAGTGACAGATGACTTAGAGGAGGAAGACCTGTCTGCTTGAAAGAAAAGTTTTGTAATAAACATGGAGTAAAACCCTCCTTATAGTGAAATGTTAAAGTTAAGAGAACTTCTTGGACCCAAAAAGATAGTCATAGGAGGAGGCAGCTAAGGCTAAGTAAGAGTAATATAATTTTGAATCACAATAGATTTATTCTTTAAAAAAAAAATCTTTATATTTAAAGACTGATAACTTGATTTAAAGATTCAGAAATAGAGTTAAATATAATTTCACTATACTACTGGAACTCTCTGCATTCTAAAAGAAGAGTCAAATTTACCTAAATTTCCCAGACGGCAAAAGTTAGAAGGCGTGGTATTTGTCTGTATAATAGTATGTATATTTGTATAATGATATAGTTTGTATAATCCTTCATTAAATACTCTACTTTAGCATGCCTGAGTCTGGATAATACGGTTTGCACAAAGACCCTTGGAAGAGGTAATCATTGCATTTGCAAATTTTGGACTTCCAATCTTCTTTGAATCTCCTTCATCTTGTTTGAATCTCCTTTGTTATAAGTGCATAAAAGGCACACGCCAAGAGACAATTCCAGGTATTGAGAACCTGCAGTTTCAGTAAAGAACTGAGAACAGGGAAAGGAACAAGAGGAAAGATGGTCCTTTTGCCATTTCAAAGCAGAACTGGGGCACAGGAGTGAGGAATCTAATGTCACAGGAGAATTTGGTGATAGATTCGGTAACTAAGGTAAACTTTCTTGAGTTTGACTCTGATGGTCATGTCATTAACACACTCTTACTTTTAGTTAGGATCAGGCAGGTATGAGGGTTTGGTTTGTCTTTCACAGAACTTGTTTTCTGGAATGTTTCAGGCTATAGTAGTCCAAGGTGGGAATTTGAATCCTTTAAGCATTAGACAATTCAAATCTAGTGATAAGTTAAATTTTCAAAAGGTCTGCATTTGGGCAGCTGTGAATAGACCATATTGCTACTGAAATGAACTTGTCATAGCAAAGAAAGGCAAAAAAAGACACTTTTTTTTTCCCCCCAGTGAGTGTACTTCTTCATTTTCATCTATGTTCCAGAAACTGCATTTGTATGAGAAGAAATACTGAAATACTGAAAACCTGAAAGTTTGGGTTTGAAATTACCTTTGAAATTTGGTCTGATCCTTGCATCGTAGCCTGACATCCTACCCATTAGCTTATCCAGGAAATCAGATGGTGACATTGGCATGCTACGAGATCTTGCACTGTCTGTTTCCTTTGTGGCTACCAAGCTAACAGCAAGGAAAAACAAACAAGCAAACAAAAAAACAGAACAAAACATTTTGTTAGAGATTTTATTAGGGAAACATTAATTTTATACAGTCAATCACTTAGTTCATTCTTGTATGAATAGAAAAATAGCAAAGCTAAGATTGCCTTTCAAGCTAGTTTATGCTTCAAAATTAGTTGTAGCAAAGAAATGGAAACAGTAAGTTCTTTTTATATCTGTCATTTTAAATGCAAATTTCATTTTCCTAAGCTGTTTTGTTATAGGTTGCTGTTACCTCTTCTTCAGGACTTCTGGAGATTAATAACACTGCCAGTCAACAGTAATTGATCTATTATCACAGTTAAATAATGTCATCTACACGAATAGTTGTGCATGTGAAATGTCATAATTTGGAATCTACCTTAAGATTGGCTGTTTAACTGGGTGTGGTGTAATAGAAGCCTAGATCAGAAAAAAAAAAAAAAATAGTAAGGATCTTTCATAGAAAGTACTACTACCTCCAAATTTTGTTCAGGCAATGTTTTATGTTGATATTTAAACATAATGCAACATATCAAACAGTCCCTTGGCAGATGATATTCTTTAACATTGTCTTAGAAGTTCATTTTCTGTTAAAACAGAACTGACTGCTTCAGTGGAAAAAAAACCACAACTTACTGAAGGAACTATCTTAGGGCAAAATTTTCATCTCATGGGCCACATGGCAAATGCCATCTCCTATAACCTCCTCCCCATACATATGCAGAACTCCCAATGACATTCTAAAGTGTGCTCTGCACATGCCAAGTGAGAAAAGTATCAGCACTGCGATCAGCCATGTGGACCCGATGAAAAGGTCTTTATTGTTGTGGAACTCTTACTCAACTGCTGGCCAATACATTGAAAAAACAAGTCAGTAAATATGTGTGTATATATATACATAAAAATTGGTGGGTAACATTGTGATACACAGTGCAACTAAAACCATTTGTGGCTTATGGATTCTAAAAAAGATAAAGAGCTTTTCCTGTTTGTGCTGACTTTTAGTCAAAAATCTATTGCAGAAGGCTATGAATCGCTTTTACTTACCCACTTCCTTGTCTCCTATTAATGCCAATTCACTGTTTTAATAGTGCTTATATATGCCTTTGTTTAGAAGTAAACACGAGGAATAATGTAAAACCCTTAGGAATTTTCTAACTCATAAAAAACCTGTGCTGAACTTTGCTTGTTAACAATGGAGTTCCAAAATGGAAAAAAATCCATACAGGTACGTGTGTATGCAGATGCCATGTTAAGTGCAGACTGGGAATGTAATTTTTTTCCTCCCAAGACTGTGTTACTCAGGAAATGAAAAGTTACAGTTTTATGGCAACTTCCATTTAGAAGGTCTACTAAAAAATCTGTTTTCAAATTTAAAGTTTGGATTTAATATCTTAAATCAGAAATTATTTCATATTAAGTCTTGAGTGTTACAAATTTGGACACACAGAGAATATGAATATAGAAACCTCTAGAATGCTGTGGTTTACTCATATTTTAATTTAAACCAGCCATCAAGTCTTTTAATTGTAATATTAACCGAAATCAAAGAGTTAAAAGTTAATCTTTCTGCTTAATTGTGTATCTAGCATTTATTCTATTCTATGTGTAATTTGATTTGCATATTTCTAGATTGTTCATAAATCTCTGAATTGTTGGATATTTCTAAATTGTTCTGAATACTTTGGTATCTCTTTCAGTATTATCTTCAGTAAAAATGTTTCCTTAATCTCCTTCAGTAGCTAACCTAGTTCTTTATTTCTTCCCATAGCTAGAGAATGTATTTCTCTTTCTGAGAAAGTAAGTACCTAACACATTCTTTCTCTAGTTCAATTTGAAATTATCCCATTGGCCTCTCACATAATTTTCATTATCAATCATTCTGAATGTATCTGATTCATCACATTATTGCAACTCATAGTCATTTATATTTCTGAAAACATCATACTTGGTTACAAAGCAAATGAAATATGACATCCGATTACACTTTGCTGGAATTTATCTATTTGCAAGGCAGGAGAATCAAGATACTGTGTATATACATATATGTATATAACAATTAGATTTCTTTCTTATACTCTTGTATATGAAAGTTACATTTCTATTCTGTAGGGCATATAGAATTCCGGCACTACACAATATATATTGCCTATATTTTTATTCTGGATATAAATAATTGTCCAGAACACAAATATAGAAAGGCCCATTTTTAGCTTCACTATCGATCACTTTCTCTGAATGGAGAATTTGTTTGTTTGTCCTTTTTCCATTTCTCTGAACTTTTTCTAAATCTTTCTTTGATGTACTTGTAGTTGTTGCTTAAAAGATGCCATGGAATAGAGTACTTTGAAATTAAGGTAACTAACAGTGAATAGGAAAAATAGTAATTGTGACTATGGATTTTCTCAAAGTGACATTTACCTTTTTGTATGATACCATCATTAATATTTGCTTTCGTTAGTGAGTTAAATGTCTCAGAATATCTTGAATAATTTCATTGCCTGCTTCTCAAAACAATGTAGTCAGCATAATTAATACATTATGTATAAGCAAGTTTTATTTTAGAAATCAGCTGTAATTTGTAACTAAGTATTTCTTCAAGGAATGTTTTCCCTTTTCCTCAGCTTGCTGTGTTGTTGAGTAAAAGCTGTTTGAGCACTGCAGAATTCTGCCCTTTCAAATTACCTTTAATCATACTGTTGGATAAATAATACCTTCATCTATCCAAGCTGATTTATGGAATACTCTTCTAGTTAAAAAGGACCAAGACTTGGTAATATAGCAAAACCTGAGTAAGGCAGTGGATTTTAGGAAGGTCTACCTGGACAAATATGGGTTTTCTGTTTACAAATTAACATAAAAATTCTGCATGGTAAGGAGTCTTCAGTTTTATTGTACATTGCCTCTGAAAAATGAGCCTCTGGCTAAGTGGTTAGAGAAAGGAATTTACTCTGACCTGTTGCATTTTTTTAAAAAGAATTTGTGCATGTGTTTTTCTTACAGGCAGAATTATAAGTATTTAATATCAGCAAAACTTTTATCCTGTGGTGCATTCAAAAGTAAGCTACAAAAGCCTTATGATTAGCATAAAGTCATTATGCAACTTTAAATTACTGAGAATGAAAGCTGTACATTTTTGTACACAGGTAGAGGCAGTGAAGGCTTCCCATTGTTGAAGTCTTATTGGAGAGAGATTATAACCTCTCAGCCTTCTGGATTATTCATATTTTACCAGGAAAAGTTGCCAACAAAAATGGCAAGGGCTAGCCCTGGTAGTGATTCTGTGTTGTTTCTGTGGGCTATTGGTAAATATTATAATGATTTAAACCATTTTTCAACTTCAGACTTAAAGCAGTACTTTATTTCACCTTCCTGAATGTGTCCTGAACTTCTTTACAATGTAAACTAAGCCTTGCCAAACAATTAAAAAGAAACTTGTTAACTAAAGTAGTGGACAAAAATTAAAAAAAAAAAAGAAAAATGTTGTCAAATGATGCATTCAAATTTACACCATCAAAAGCTAGGGTAAGAATTTTTGTTCCATATAAGCCGCTACACAAAACCAGGCATTACCAGAGAATTAGAATCACCAGGACTACAATTACTCCTGTCTTTGGTCTATTCTGTCTGTTAAATCAGTGTTCACCTAAAATCTGAGGAGACATGAGCTTTGCATTGTGTCTTGAAGACTGTCAAGTTGGAATTTCACGGACTGAGATAGAAAAACATCCTGAATCACAGGTCTGTGCCAGTGCATGACCTACCAAAAGTCATATCTGAGTCAGAAACTGTTAGGTCAAACTGAAGACATTTACAGGGGGATATAAACGTTAGAGAGTAAGAAGCAGCCCGGCACAGCCAAGATGTAGCTTCTCTAGATCAGCACCCACATCCTAAATTCCAGACAAAAAACTACCATAGGGATTTGTATTAAGAATGGTGTTCAGCACTGCCATCTATGATCTGGAAAGAAAATACAAAATCATTGATGGTTTAAAACTAAGAATTGCAAAAAAAATTGACAGGTATAAATGTTGATGAGGGCAAGAAAATAACCCATTTCTTAAGTGCAGTCCGTTTAAGTAGACTGGTTTAAAACAGACAGAGGAATGGTATTAAGAGATATATGAATTAGGAGTGTGGGCAGAGTTGGAGAAAGCAGTTGAGTCTGAAGTAGGACTCAGAATTCATGTTGAACCACTCAGCACTGTTGTGGTAAAGTTCTCACTGCACTACTGTGTTATCCAGTGGTGTGGAAAGATTGAAAGAGTGAGTAGAAGCATGAAGGTCACTTATTATTTTATATGATATTAATGAGACCAGTTCTGGGACATTGCATCAAATTCCATGTCCAAGTTTTAAAAGGACATTAAAGCATTAGGAAAGTACTGAACAAAGCCACTAAACCATGATCTGAGAGTTAGGGAAATTTTCTTAAAGAGACTTGAAGAGCTCAATCTTCTTAGTTTTTCAAAAAGAACATTGAAAAATAACACAATTGAAGTGTATAAATGCCTGAAAGGGGCACAAAATGCTGGACATTTATCTGAAGAAAGGCAGAAGAAAAACCAATGAAAGACAGACAAATTCAAATGGGAATTTAAGCACACAGTTTAATAATAAACGTAACTTAAAAGAAGATCGAACCGTACCAGGCAAGACAGTACAGCTTTCTGGAAAGACATTTTAGCAAAAGATAATGTACTGTGTTTCATATACGCCTAGCCTGGTGAAAAGAAATGACCTATGATATACAGAAAAGCAGGCTAAATTCAGAGTAGACACTACAAATCTCATGCAGAAATCTTCAGATTGCCAAAAGACACTTTACGGACTTGAAGCGCTTAAGGAATGGAAGCAGTGGGCATACTTCAAAGTGGAAAACAGTGTCTTCTCAGGGTCCTTCGATGTTGGGGCTGGGTTGCAGGCTTGCAGTTACCTGTACTGTAACCTGTAATCTGGGTTGCAGGTTACAT